CTGTAAATATCACTGATTACAGGTCCTCTCATTTTGGTCTGAACATTTCTTGTTTTGATCTGAGAATTTCTCATTTTGGTCTGAAAAAGGTGTACTCGAATAAAGAATTCGATGAGATCTGTCCAAAACTGGTCTTTTCTGTAGATTTGATCAATAAATGTATCGGATTCCATGCAATTCCTGCAACCCGATGAAAGAACTCCCTCTATAGTGAATCTGTATGATTTAATGCGTAAAAGTGTGCTGACGATTATCAGCAGTTTTCATTGGCTTAGATGCAAATACTTCATAGCATGGACATGTTTGCACAAAAATATAGTTCAGTTGGGTATTGTGTGAGATTTGATGATTCCGCTGGTATTGCACGAATTCGGAAATGCATGGAATTGTCAGGTTCATTTTTGTGACGTCACTAAAGCGCGAATGTACACTAACTGCGAAGCGCGACTTAATAGCGTGAAGGTGTAAAGGCTATTAGCAAGTCAAGCACCTTTCATTCTGAGGTTTTGTCCGAAGACAAAGAATCTTTAGCACAATTAAAAGGAAACTGGAGCAACAAGTTGAAATTTCGAACATGTTCTATAAGAATGTTTGCCAGCATGGAGCAAAGCGGGCCATGCTACAGATTAAATGAAGATTAAACGTGGTTTCATACCGACCAACAAAGTCGAGCGTCTACTTAATAAGCATTAAAAGCGCTGTACTGAATGGTGGCCGCAAGTATTCATCAGTCAGGTTTCACTGTACGGTTGCTCCAAAACGATTGCATTTTTTTTATTAGAACAGTACATCGGACGAACTGTACACTTTCCGATGTGACTGGGTGTGTCTAGCGTATAGTTATCGCGATATCCGGACTATATTGCAGAGGCATAATTATTAAGGAGCAAAAGAAAGCAGAACTACCAACTAGTCCTGCTACATGTAAAGCACTAGGGGCTCCTAGTGCGCCGGAGGTTTCTGCCGCGTCAACATGCCAACTACATGAACTGCCTCGTATTCAAGGCACTACATAACTATCTTCGTAATATCGCCAACCGCACCCCCCACCGTGCATGTCGGTCGAGACGTCTGAGCTTGAACTTGACCATCGTGACAATATTTACTCTTGAAGTATTCCCGCTTAAGTAATTCTAGCAGAATAATCTTTTTGATATCATTGCTGTTCAAATTTCAGAGCTTCTTCGTGCAAGGCGCAACTTTGTTGTTTATTATTGTTCACATGCCATGATAGTTGAAGTTCGAGTGCGTCGATTTTAAAAGTACAATAAATCGAGGGCACGATATATATGAGTTTCCGAAAGTGAACGAGTCGATCAATCTACAGGACCCGCCAAAATACAAAAGATCGCAACGAAGGTTTTTAACGCCGTACTTTGTTGACGACTCAGCTCACAATCCATTATAGTATCTGTTCATTTGCCTTATCCTTATCGCAAAACAGTCCCCCCAGGCAATATCAGCTCTACCAGCTACTGCATATTGACACATGTAAGTATTTGTGTATGACATGTTCCAAGTTTGTTGCGGTGATCAGCACGCTAAAGCTTTCCTAATGCACGCTAACATTTGCTACAGTGCGACCGTGTTATTACTACACTCGATAATCCAAAGAATCAAGACAACATTGATCATCGTTTCTTACGGTGCTTATTATTCCGCTGCTGTTTACTTACGGGCACATTTGTAGCCATAGTGGTTAAATGCAACCTTAAATATGAGACAACAACACAAAATACAGCAAAATGCACCTTAAAGCGACGCCAAAGCACGCTTAGTCTAATTAACCCCTTTATTACCGCGAAATCGCGCCACGAACCGCCTTGTTTTTCGTCGTAACTTACAGCTTAAAATCCTCTAGAACTGTGTATGAACCCGTCCTTTCCACTCGGCTTATCATTAAGATGAATAGAGGTTCCACTTTCTACGTCGTAACACTTACGACGTACCTCAGCATCACTGCGTTGCAAGTTTATAGTTACAACTTAGCCGATACTATGTGATCGTGATCGCATTTCACAAACACAGTTATAGCCGGAACTACACAGTACAGCAATCAAATGAAAACTCAACAAAATCCATTAGCAAGCATTGCTGGAGACACTATGGAAGGCCCACTAACTCTCTTCTTTTTCCTCAGACAGAATTTCTTGGTGTGTCTTGTTGCGCACCCCTGCGGCCTTGGGGGCACGGCGCAGAACGACACGTTTACCTAGGTGGCTCGGAATCAACGCACCACACGCGAAGTCGTTGTACCACACTTGAAAACACGTTGTGTCCGTGCCCCTCCGCGCCTTGGGACAGAGGAAGCACTTTGCATCACCGTGCGAACAGGCCTCGCAGTAGTAAGTAGTATGGCAGCTATTTTCTGCTCACCTCGATAGAGGGCACACCTTACAGGAGCGCCGGCGTCACTTCTTAGCGCCCGACACAATCACCCAACCATTAAGCTGCTTACGCACGTGGGAAGTGTTGCGGCGGCGGTTAGGAGCAATAGAAGACGGTGACGGCGGTGCCATTTTGAAGTCTTCGTCCGCGAGCTGCATGAGCTACTTGTGCAGCATCTTGGACTAGCTCACGCGCTTCATCGCAGCGACACCGTCGAGTCGGCAGGCCTCATTGGGTGTCAGGTACGCGTTGACAAGCGCTAGATCATACATACCTAAGAACATACCTGTGTAGTACTTACTGAACCTGAAAGCAGTCTGGACGGAGAAAGTTTGAAGGCGGAGTTCGTCATGCACATCAACTCCGCCCACCCAGCGTTGGTAATCCATCACCAGTATGGGCAGCTGAACGTCGATTGCCCCACCACCTTGAGATTTTGCTTGATGGCATCTTCGGCCATGGACACTCCTGTGGTCAGGTAGTGCACCGGCTTGCGGTAGCATCAGTGGCTTGCGACCATGATGGGCATTGCAACCGATCTTGAGAACTTGAATGAACCACGCTCTACTGTGGCTGGCCGTGTCTTCCGTCGCTCGACGATGTGCCCGTCGAGCCCCAGCCTCGACGTCATAATTGTCCCAATCATGTAGACGGACATGGAGAGTGGTTGGATGGTGAGCGGGACCGACGTGTAGAATCTGTCGGCAACAATGATACGAAACCCGGAGTCGTACTCATCCAACAAAGCCTTCAATTTCGATTTACAGCCGCTGCTCTTGTCTTGTGGCCAAACGCCTGGCTTGCATTCTCATTGATCTGGCGCTTCCATACATATATCTCAAATCTTAAGTCGTAACTGATAGCATAATGCAAGTGTTAGACCACCAAGACGGAAGTTACGACTTTGCAAAATTATAAGAAATAAGCGGACCTGTGATAGTAAGCAGACACTACGTCGCATGTCATGAACATATTGGTGTCATAGCGGTGTGGCTTGTCCAGCATAAACATTCGGGTGCCGTGGCGCTTGGATGTTGCAGGAAGCACACCTTCATCGAACAAGATGATATTAGACACCGTCAACGCTGAGAAGAATCTCGCTTGAAGTACATCGATAACAGCTTTCAGCTTCCACAACTTGTCCCTCTTGTTGGCTGTGTCAGTGTTTCAGAAATGTAGGCCCCGCAGGATAGAGATACAGCGATTTCGCGAGATGAAATTTCCAAAGAGCCCCGCAGAAAGCGCACCGTTGTCAGGCATAGCCCAGTGGTGTGTGCTCTGAAAACGGACAGGTAGGGCTGAGCATGTGCGCTAGAAGTAGACCCATGACACGAAGAACCTCGCGCGGTACGTAATCAGGTTCGACTCGTATGCGGCGGCGAACATCTCTGAGCGTTTGTCCAGGTGCGTTGCGTCCTTCGCGAATAAGACGTGGCCGTTCTCGACGCGCCTTTTCCTCAAGGTGCGATCTCTTGTATGTGTTTGTCTCGCGCGTGATGAAAGTCCACAGGCTTGTCGGCATAAAGTAGAATAGCAATTCGAACGGCGAGTCCATCTTAGCTCGGGTCGCTTGCACTGGCCTTGCCACTTGATCTCTCAGACCCTCGAGAGCGTTGTTGTCGGTTTCATACTTGGAGGATGCAGGGGTCCAAGCCATCGAACGCAACGTGTTTCGGTTCATGTCTTTGATAGATAGCGAGCCACCCAAGCAATCAATAAACGCTGCATCCATAAGAGGCGCCTCCTCATCATCAAATGATACGTCATCACCAAGCTGCCTTAGAACAGCATCATCGTCATCATCGGATCCGAAGCCATCCGACTCCGAGTCCATGCTCTCGTACTTGTCTGCGTTGTCCTCGTCCTTCATTATGTTCACGTCCTCTTGCAGCAAGCCATCAGCTACTTCCAAGTTTGTTCGCACCACAGACCGGCGGTGGCATCACTTTGTCTCGAGTTTGTCGGCGTCGTAGGCTCCGCAACGGCATCATTTGGACCAATGCTTGTTGATAGCGATTGCGTTACCTCCTGTTCTTCACCACTCAGTGCTCCTCTAAACATGTCGTCTATGATGTTTGCCGAATGCCGAAAGCACAATACTCGTTTCAATCTGGGACACCCTCGCGCTCTCATGCTCTATATGCGGGATTGTGACGAATTGTGGGTGTTCCGCATCGTCCTTGCTTTCCTCGCTCTTGGACTCGATCAACGCTTCAACGGTGTTCGCCGAGAGGGCAACAGTCGTGTCAATCTGAGACGCCGTTACTCTCTCGCATTATTCAGGCGCTTCTCGCTCATCACCTTCACGCTCGCCCTCTCTGTCTTCGCCTGCACCGCTCTCGTCAGCGTCGATTATGCCATGCTCCAGCGCAAATCTTAGTACTGTATGTTCGCCTACGCGTACACAGCGCACAGCAGATATATCAGTAGTATGTTAAATACGTCATACTTACCGACAAGCATGTCCACTCCTTCAACGTGCGGCTCCTTTGCAGCGTTGGGTCAGTAGTATGAGTACGAGTTGGACAGCCGCGTCGTTTGTCTCTTCGAAATCCATCCGACACGCACGAGCTGACGCCATAGATGACCAAAGTCCACATCTCGCTCGTCGATTGCAGATAGCACCTCCGCTCGGGCTTTTGTCCGCTTGCTGGTTCTGGCCGGCATCTTCGCTTCACCCCGCAAATTCTGTACTGGTGAAGATTATCCACCATCCACCAAATGTACGGTCCCTAGATAGTGGGAAAGTGAATCCAACTAGCGCCCTTTTCTCCCCTGTCGCACTATACCTTTCCTAGCTTATATTTTTTTGACCGTGGAAGAGACTTGATTAAAGTTTTGGATCGCTGCGTCTGAGCCATTTTCTGTTTAAAAAGAAAATTAAGTCGTAACTTACGGCTTAAGGTTTTCTCTACGTCGTAAGTTACGACGTTGGTAAGCAAGGGGTTAACGCAACCCAAAATCACTGACCCAAACAGCTAGACGTGTCCGAGGACGGGTGTCATGAACCTTGAAATCTTAAACAAAAAATGTAGTTGCTGGCAGGACACCTATCCTCACAGTCGCACAATTGAAAACACAGAAAAAGGTGGAAGAGCCCTAAAAGGGTCTAAATGTCTTAAATCCGGGTGCTCCGAACATTCATCTTAAACCCCAGGCATTGCTTCGGCGTTTCCTAAATGTTAGGATTCACCCCCTCCCTCGGCTTAAGGTCCGATAAACACACTCCGATAGTGGTTATTAGCTCTGTACCAAAGACGATGCAGATAAGCTTCTCTTGAAGGGATTGTAAAACGATCGAACCCCAGTTTTAACGTGCTATCCTCGGAAGTATTGTAGTATCACTATAATATGTCAGAATTTGTTAAATACTGTACACATATTCACCGACTGCTATACCGAATCACGTTGAGGAGTACAATAAACAAATGTAGGTCATAAATAAGCTCGGAGATATAGTAAAATGCATCCCCTGTTAGAAACTTAAAGCTTATCCTGTTTCAATGCATCTCCTGCGTCTACGTCGCTGTATCGGCATTTGCACGTGTACTTGATGTAGCGGCGGACGAAAGTGACAATAATATCCACGCATCCTACGTCTGGCCCGCAGCAGCAACGTCGCCGTACGCCCACCTAGCCATGATTGCTATGTTGACCTTGTAGCCTCAGACCTAAGGAATCACCAGTGGTGATTCACCAGTTACTACTTTGATGTATTTGAACCTCGCGTAGTTTTCTAAAAGAAGGACTCCCAAGGATACGCACTTTGCCATATTCACTCTGTTATTATATTACCGTACTTAGCAGAGGCGACGGGACGAACGACACGCATAAAAATGATCGTGTTGAACCCCCCGTCCAAAATGGATGTCAGGGAACACCAGTTCAAATACAGTTATATTTTAAACCGACGCATAGCCTTAGCGTATTCATATCCGGTAAACAAATATATATGTTTGAGGAGGGTGAGTACAAACATCCAGGGAATAATATACTTGAAGTAGTGTCAATTCTGTGGACATCAATAGCTGTTACCGTACCTGTGACGTCGTCCCTCGGTCAGGGTGCTCGAAGAACAAGTCGTCTAACAAGAATTCCAATTAAAACAGGCGAAACTATTATTTGCACGGCACCCCAATCATGTTCAATAAAGGTTCATTCAGCAGCTGCTTGGCTTGCGTGCTCTTACAGCATCCCTATGCGTTAGCTACAGCTCGCGTTGTCTCACGTCGACCGTCTACATTCAATACATGCCCCAATTTGGTCTCATTTCAAATTCTCACAACCAAAACTATCTTGTCCCGCTCTAGTCACTATCCACGACACAGCGGACCCACAGGCTTCGTTGTTTCGCCCACCGTGGCACTAGTCACGGTGGGCGGCAGCCTTTGACGACTGCGTGAACGAAGCAGCGCCAAACCTTCCATCGATAGATTCATTGCGTTCTGGACCGCCATAATACAATTATTTTGAAAATTATAACCTTGATAATGAGGTACGACCGTCGTTCTCGTCACGATACTGAGCCCGTTTACAATCCCGATAAGAAAAGCGTCAGTCTCGGGAAGCTTACATTCCCTCGGCAAGGTGGAGGGTGATCGGTATCTTTATAAATATGACATCTTTTGAAATTGGTCATTACGAAACTACATACATACACGACACTACGTATTGATACTCTTCGTTGGCAAAGAAAAAAGAGAATTGATTCCATTTCGCGTTGCAAATGACACCCATTCTACTCTCCGTCCATATCAAAAGACTAGTCGTCCAGGTTCTATTGGTGATGCAAGGCACTTTTGGAAGTACATACTTAAAAGTACGCCGTAGAAGCTGCACAACCCATCCAGAGCCGATGCTTGCAAAAAAAATGCCATAGTACAAAGTGTAGGTATAGGAAACATGCCAATTACACCATCAGTACAAGGCAATGTAAGTCGCCATTTGCTTGGGATTACTTGTGTTTATTATGTTAACATGAATGTATTATAAGTTTAGGATCAAATTACATTCAACGCGCTACATATACTTGTAATACATATAGTACTATGCGCTCACCGCTGTGCGGCCAAGTTTTCTTAGTATGTTAGTCAAATTTCAGTGAATGAGAACAGAGATATGGGCAATCCTCGCTCAGGACAGAAGGCGTCACTCCAACGGGCGTGGTAGATCTGCCGTCCAGCTTAAATGCGGCCGTGGCCATCGTCAATAAATCGGATATGACAACGACAAGGACGACATTAAGAACGAAGGACAGAGCTTATTTGCACAGTACCAGAATAGTGGCGCTAACAATAATATTGGTTTCTGTATTCCCCTGTGCAGTGACCGTGCTATTCACGAACGGATCCGTCTATCGTTTGGCAAACGGGGGACGAAAGTCATCTCTTATCATGAGCTTTGCTTCCTGCGCTTCTGCAGAAAAGAATTTCTTACTTGAAGAGGGCATTGACTCCTATAATTATTTTCTCTTCTAGCAAGTTATTTATATAATAACATTGCATAGTATTTTGTCAAGACGGGTACTAGTAGTTTTTTTTTTCCTCCTGGTGGGTCCTCCTGAATACTTATACTGTAGGAGGTACCTTTGTGAAGTCGTTACTAAATGTATCGGTAATTTTTGTTATAATACGGAGTAAGTTTTATGATTTCAAAATTAGGAGTGCTACCAGTACATTTTTTATGTTTAGTTTACCTAAGGCCCAAATTCCAGAGCTGTTCAGGCGAAAAGCACGGTTTTGTTAATTTATCTGAGTAGCCTGACAAGCTAGTCTCTCACGAAGCGCGATGGTCTGTAGGGTCATCATGTGTGGAGGGTGACAGATAGGATTTTCGTCAACATTCATTTACGGTATCTGGACAACAGATTCTCCCCGTGTGAGGACCTTACCTGGATAGAGTACCCTCCCTACACGTACTGTTGCTTCGCGCGGTGTACTAGATTGCTATTGTGAGGTAGTGTAGTTCTATTTAGCATAGTTTATTGCTAAGTTACCTACTTTACCAACTTTGCATTTGTGAAATCAAGTTTAGAACTCGTCAAACACTACAAAAACTAAAATACGTGACACAGGCTTCGAAAGGTGTCTATTACAAGTTTTAGGTGTGTGGATTTTGGAGTCAAAGCTACCAACTGTCAAATGCAATACCCAGGCACGAACGGAGGGAACCAACCGTCACGCCATCTTGGTGTGCTGTCAAATCGTGTGCGATACCAGTTGCAGTCAGCTTGAAAAGTTAATTCACGCCATGCAGTCTGTAGGCGGTGAACTACTAGGGCTGTAATGGTCACTGTAGTGCAACCTTACCCTTTTTGGTGCACGCCATTGTTTTCAGGTTGCCGGCGAAGTCGCGACGGCAACAGCTGATGGCTTGCAGCTATTGGTACGATCGTATTATATGATTCCTACATGTCGTGTGATTCACACCGGGAGCTCGCAAATGCTGTTCACATTCTGAGCCTGGCTAACCTGGTCCGTACTATTACGATCAGAAATTTCTGTTCAGCTGCAACAGCTGCCAGAATTCTCTACCAGCCATGACGTGTGTCTTCGTCCACAAGCCTAATTCTAGCGTGAGTATTGATCAGAATGAGCGATCTCCATTCAAGAGCTTTGCTAACAGGAGAGCTTTAGCCTCCGATCAATGCTGGTCGAACTTCCCGACGTCAAGCAGCTCTCGCTGTCCGTCGCCAAAGAAAGGGATAGCGAATGAATCTTGCCTCTTCTCTACACGTTTCTCTAGGCGCAACCAGCTGTGTGCCGCGATACCAGGTGGCAAAAAAGAAGAGTACATGTCGGCACACTACAGCGTAAGCAAAAGGATTGCTCGATAGCTGACCAGCATGGGGCGGGACTGGGCTGGTATCAAGAACCTATTTCTTTTCAGCATCATGGCCTCTCCTTTCCCCAGCTCTGGTCGGCGGGGCTTGTCTCGAAGAACTCGGCTTGACTACCCCCGGTCACTTGTTCATTCTTAAATTCACCGTCTTGGCAGCATCCGCATTAACAGCAAAAGCACAAAAGCATAGCGAACAATGGTTGCCAACTTCGTCAAGACCGCTGCGCTAGCCGTCGTCGTGCTCTCCGCTACTACCGAGGCGCATAACAAGATGACGCTGCCACTGCCGACCTGGGCCGACGGATTTTACAGCCAGAACAGCCCGTCCGGCACCATTGACCCCTCGGACGTGCTGCCCGTTCCGAGCGGCATGTCGTACAACACCGACCCAGCTTCCAACACAAACGCGTACTGGACGGCGTTCAACGCAAGCAAGTACAAGTCGCTCAAGGAGCTGGCTTGGGACGCCCAGACTCTCGAGGGCACCGCCTCCAACGAGTGCGGGTTCTCGCTGGTCGACGGAACGCCCCGTGACCTGCCCGATGAGGTGCAATGGGACTTCTTCACGGCGTCCCACCAGGGCCCGTGTGAGGTTTGGTGCGACGATACGCTCGTGTTTGAGAACTGGAACTGCGCCGTCGACTACCCCGAGACCCCGGCCAATCTCCCGTACGACAAGGCTAAATGCAAGGGCTCTTCGGTGCTAACGTCGTACTGGATTGCTCTCCACACGACCCCGTGGCAGGTGTACACTAACTGCGCTCCGTTGACGGGTGCTTCGTCGTCTTCTAACTCGAGCACGTCCGAATCGACGACTACTAAAACCCCGTCCGCTACGGCTGCTACCCCCACCGTTACAACTGCGCCAACCACTACCACTCCCAGTGTCACCTCTGCAGCCCAGACGGAGGCTAGTGAAGAAGAGGAGGAAGAGCCTTCCACGGGTGATGACGCCAGCACGGACGCGGAGGCCGACGAGACGGAAGCTCCAGCAACCACTACTGCTCCATCGGTTGATAAGTGCTCGGTGCGCCGTCGCCGCCACTAAGTTGTGCTGTTCGCATCACAGTGTCCATGTTTTCCTGACAAGTATTCGTCAGTCTGAGTAGTATCGTATATGTGTAAGTCTGTAGCATTCCTTAGAGAGAAACAAAATACAGTCACGCCCCATTTTGCGGAGAAGTGTATGAGTTTGTAGATCTTCTCTATCCATTCCGCCTAATTAACCGAGGACGGATATGTATGGAGCTGTTTAATACTACGAAGCAAGCGGCCATCGGTTCGGACACCAAAGCACTTCATGTTAACACATGGGCCGGTGAGCGGGGGCGCTTCTTGAACGCATCCTTGCCGATCGTTGACAAAGGTGGCGTAACGTTATGGAGTCTTTGGCAACAATCGAGTCCCGACTCTGGAAGCACCGAGTTGCTCACCGGATACCCTTTATCATAGGATCGACTCGGTGCAATTGTCTCCAGCGGAGACTCCGCTGCATCGAGTTGCTGCTACGCAGAGCCGGGTAGTTCCACAACGAAGCCGACGGTTTCTGCAACTGGCTGCCTTTACCTTTTGCATCAATTTGTCACGCGATCTTTTGAACAGGATGTTCATGGAGAGCACATTGACGATGCCAACATACCGCCGCAATTCCGTATGGCTAAGCTAACTTGTCATGATAAGTATCGTCGTCGTCAATACCTTGCAGTCCTATTGCAGCAGACCTGTACGCATGCACGTCATTCCTTTCAAATCGAGGACCGCTCTCAGATTCCAGCCGTAGGGTGTCGAAGTTGCGTCTCTCTTGCTCCTTTACAATGGTTCGCGTCGTGCTCAAGTCGCCACGTTAGGTGTGATCTTCTCATTCTACAAATCTCCTCGCGTTAGCTAAACGCCACTATGGTTGTCGTCTCCTACTCGCGCGTAGCGATGCTGGCGTTGGCTGCAATGGCCGCATCGGTTAGCGCACACAGCAAGATGTCGCTGCCAAAGCCTACCTGGGTCTACGAGGAAGGCACCAACAGCCCAGCGGGTACAGTGGACAGCTCCAACGTGCTGCCAGTCCCGGACGGCATGGGCTACGAGGGTGACCCACTGTCGAACACAGAGGCGTACTGGACGGCTTTCAATGCCAGCAAGTATACTTCTCTTAAGGAGCTCGTGTGGGAGAACGAGGTGGTCAACACAGACTCGCTGTACGGCACTGCCACCATCGAGTGTGGCTACTCGTGGACCAACGGCACGGCACGCGACTTGCCAGATGAAGTGCAATGGGACAAGCTAACTACTGGCCACGACGGCCCGTGCGAGATCTGGTGTGATGACACGCTGGTCTTCTCGGACCAGAACTGCGCTGTCAACTATCCCGACAGCCCCGCCAGCTTCCCGTACGACAAGGCAGCTTGTGAGGGCAAGTCCATGCTAACGGCGATCTGGTTGGCGCTGCACAGCCCGCCGTGGCAAGTGTTCACTAACTGCGCCCCGCTCAAGGGCGCCACGTCGTCCAGTACGGCGACTACCACAAAGGCACCGACAGCAACTACCCCAACGTCCAGTTCTACGGAAGCCCCAAGTGCCACAACGGAGTCCTCGTTGAAGACCTCAACCGTGTCGGGTGAGGCCAGTACTGCTGCTGACTACGACGAGGCCTCAACTACGTCTACGGAGGCGTCTACCACTACGGACGCGACAACTACAGCAGAGACGGAAACATCAACGTCGCCGCCAACGACGGCGGAAAAGTGTTCTCGCCGTCGCAGCTAAGCTGGTTTAGCAACAGCTTAGCAAGTAGGATCAATGTTGTTTCGTTGCGTAACTCGATGTGGAATACAGAATTGGCATGACCTAAATTGCGTAGAAAGCTGCACTCCCTGACAATGTAGAAATTCTGATGGTGCTACTGCTGAAACGAAATTGTGACATCGAATTCAACTGTAGTGAAGTCTGGTGCTCTAGCGGTGGGATTCAGAAACAGGTGGTGGATGACCAAGAGGTGAACCACCCAGCACCTGTCGTCCGAGCACGGGCTTGCTTGAACGACGTTGTCATTGTTCACGACTGTAATGCAGAACATGGAGCGACAGCTTTTCGACAACTGGCAAGCTTTCATGACGTTAGTTTTATCAGTCGCCGTTTGCCATCAGCTGTTTTGAGCCAGGAGTGGCTGGTCTCAACGGGCTGCTTGGCAAGATGGAAATGATGTCCGCCACGGTGATATGAATTCTGGATCGGGCGCGAGCTGATCCGCTTCCAGCTGATGCACCAAAATGCACTCCGTTTGTACCAAACCATGGCATAATAGCGAGTGAATATGCAGTCAGCCGTGCCCAGCATTTCCTTCGACATCACTCTGTTGGCAGATATTCTAGGGTGAGCACTGGAGATGACAGGCACCACTTCCAACCTCACTTGTTGTTTTACGCACATCAACTCAAGTGTCTTAACAGCTCGCAAGCAACGCGTTCAGAATGATCGCCTCTCCGTCTGTCAACCTCGTCGTACTGGCTGCCGTCGGTTTGACTGCTTCTTCCGTGAGTGCACACAGTTATATGATTTTGCCGTTGCCAACGTGGCCGGTGTCTTGGGGTACGAACAGCCCGTCCGGTTTGATCGAGGGCGACACGTACCTTCCGGTCCCGGATGGCATGTCATACTCGACGGACCCATACGACAACACGGAGGCCTACTGGGCTGCCTTCAACGCCAGTAGCTACACGTCACTGCTGGAGTTTGCGAAGGAGACACAGGTACTGCAGACGATGGCGACGTTCGGAACGGCGACAGCGGAATGCGGTTTCTCGCTTGCCAACGGGACGGCGCGTGCCCTGCCGGCTGAGGTCGAGTGGAACCAGTTGACGTCCTCCCACGAAGGTCCTTGCGAGGTCTGATGCGATGATACGCGTGTATTCGAGGACTGGAACTGTGCCTTAGATTACACTAGTGATCCGGCAAAACTTCCTTACGACGTCAGCAAGTGCGAAGGTGCGTCCATGCTGACCTCGATTTGGTTGGCTCTGCACGCGCTGCCGTGGCAGGTGTACACGAACTGCGCGCCTCTCACTGGAGATCTTAGCAGCTCTGTGGACGCCTCCGCTACGACTGACGAGTCGTCTACGACGGCAGCCACGGCAGATACTAGTGCTTCTACTGCTGCGGAAGCTAGTTTTACCGATGACTACGCCACGTCGGAAGATGCCTCTGCTTCTGCCGCCACGACTCCTACCGCTACGACCACGGCTCCTTCAACGACTACGGACACTCCGACCGCGTCAAGCACCACAACGTCAGACAAGTGTTCGGTTCATCTTCATCGCCGTAATTAAGGCAATGCGAAGGCTCGCACAAGATGTAGCAAACGATCTACTACTGTCGATTTGAGGTGACATATACATGTGTACGTACTAGTATGTTCCTAGCTGGCGGTAATAACACGTGTGTATAGCTTTTGTGTTTAGCCATCGTTACACGCACAATACTGTATTGTAAGTACTTTGCTGTCATGCCACTTCAACCGCCGATCTTGAGGATTTGCTCCGCAAGTCGAGGATACTTTCACAATTGGACAGGTCATACTGCCCATCCAAAGATATCGACACATGAGGTAAAATTGCAACAGTAGAATCGTATTGTAAGTTTGATTCTACAGTGGAAGAAATGCTTTATACACATTTGTGCTCGCCATAAAACGCCGACACACCGAATATGCAACAAAGCATACCTTCGTCTGCAGTAAACCTGTGCGTCGAGCATTTTTACATATTTATCCGTTACTTTTTTATGGGGGGGGGGGGGGGGGGGGCATTGATTCAAAACCCGACCAACATAAAGCGTCGACCATACACAACACATTCCGGGCGGCATCTTAAATTTGACGGAACTGGCCGATGATACTGGGTCGTATCACAGAGCTTTAGCAATAGCACGTACTACTAAGGACTTTACAGCAAATATATTTTGCTCGTTGATTTCATCGACGATTGTGTGTACTTTCACACTTTACTGTTGGCGCAGCTCCACGAGCTGAGGAAATGTATTGCATCTGTTAAGTTAAACGCGACACCGCCAATCGTGTAAACTCGGAACAAATGCCACTAATCCCCCGTGCAATAGATCCACGTGTGAAGGACACGATCTGCGTAACAGTTGAGGAGGCTTCGGGTGCTCTGCCAGAGAGGGACAGAAGAGTCAGAAACTACAATACGTGTACTGTGTTGCTATCTCGTTGTTCCCAGCATGTCCTCTACTTGATGGACACGAGCTCCGTTCGTCGTCACCGTAATTGATCAGAGTTTTCGAAACGATGCTGAGCAACGCAATACTTCGAAGCACATGCAGCGTGAAGAACGCATATGGCGTTCGACTATTTCACGCTCGCCGGGTGGTTGGATGTAGTTCACAGCCCCATGGGGAATGCATGAACAATTGTGCTACATGTAAATGTACACATGTTTTAAGGACCTTATTTGTATTGTAAACGCGTTTCGCGAGCCGTCTCGCCACCGTAGTGGGTCAACTTCCGCATGCGTCGGGTTATCTCTCGTACTCTACGATTCTCTCATCTCTCGGCCAGAGTCCGTCAAGCGGTTAAGGACCTTACTACGTGTCAATTTGACTTGCGTCGCCACATTGACGATCACCTAACAGATTTGAAGTACGCATACATGGATTGCTGTAGAGGATGATGAACTTCATTCCCGCATTCCAGTTTGAAGGCAGCATCCAAAGTCTCCTCTACATGTACAAACGTAAAGGGAGTGCAAGTTGCACTGCAACCGGCTTTACATGAAGTCTCTTTACGGAGCATCGTGGGTCTCCCTCCAACAGCTGAAGAAGCTGATCGACGGGTTGGCCAGCCGGTCTGCAGGAAGGTTCGGAAGCGTGTCAATTCTCTGTCATCGCAACTTGCTGTCGCGTTGAGCTCCGCTCTTTTAAAGAGTCTTTCAACTGCTTTAGATCCACGCGATCAGATCCACTTGCAGCCATGATTGTCGTGGAATTTCTACGGCGGAAACGCATGCGAAACTCGGCAGCAGATCTGGTCGATAGAGCCTTCGGCATGGGCCAGCTGCTTTATCGGAGTCTAATTGACTCAATCCGTTTGGTCTCTTGTGTGGCCGACCAGAGAAACCTTCTCTGATTTGCATGACCCACGTTAACATTGAACACCTCCGCAGCAAAGCCTCTTGATATTCCCCGTACCCGCCGCGAATACAAAATAGAGTACGTATTACGGTGTCCGAGTGCGTGCATATACGATATTGTAGGGGCAGCTTAGCACGGAACAACTGAACAACTCCTTGGATACCTCTGTCACGACGTTCGTGGTCCAAACACACAAGCACCTGCACGCTCTTCATTTCGGAATTTCCTCGTCTCTCCGTCACCAGCCCACCATGCCTCCGTTCACTTCCACTGCTGTTGCAGTGGCCGCTTCCATGCTGGTCGCCACCACAGAAGCTCACAGCTACATGTCCGACCCGATGCCGACATGGTCCGTTGGTTACCCCACGACCAATTACGCCGGACTGATCGATGGTCAGGACTACCTCCCTGTTCCCGACGGCATGTCCTACGGTGGAACTCCTGAGGGTAACACGGAGGCCTACTGGACGGCCTTCAACGCCAGCAAGTACACCTCGCTCAAGGACCTCGCGGACAAGACGATGGTGCTGCAGTCACTGAATCCGTTCGGTAAGGCAACAAAAGAGTGCGGATTTTCGATCCCCAACGGTAGCAAGCGCAACTTGCCCGCCCAAGTGCAATGGAAGGATTTCGGCTACTCCCACCAGGGACCGTGCGAAGTCTGGTGCGACGACAAGCTGGCATTCATGGACACCAACTGCGCGCTGCATTACCCGGAGGTACCTGCGTTTTTGCCCTACGATATCGATGTTTGCATCGGCGCGAAGATGATACAGTCGTACTGGATCGCACTGCACGGTCTCCCGTGGCAGCTCTACCTGAACTGCGTACCTCTCACGGGCAAGACGAACGGTACGTCCAACGCCGTCGCCGGTGAGAGCGACTCGACCCAGGAGCAGACGACGACAGCGCCGTCGCCTGCTACTACCGATGCCCCAGAGACCACAACCGAGTCGACCAGTGCCTCTGCTGACAGCTCGCCTGCAAGTGCGGCTGGTACGCCGGAGACTACGGACACGGACGCATCCGACGGTGCGACGCCCGAGGTGACACCCGCCACCCCAACCGTGACCACGGCCGCCCCGACGGCAACCCAGCCTACTTCACAGAACGATGAGGGGGCTACTGGCGCAAAGTGCTCCCGCCGCCGCAAATAAGCGCCAGCCGATAGATTAGTGTCCATAAATGCGTTTGATGTAGTCAAAGTGAATCGTGCAATTTTGATAGCTGTCCGAATGAGATGCGTTAATCTATGATCGGTCGCCCACTGTCTAAGGTAACCTATCAAAATGTTGATAG